TATATTTTTAAACCAGTGATTAAAGTTGCTGGCAATATGACAAATGCAATATACATGATACACATTTGGAGGTTGCCACCCAATGTGTGGATTTGACACAGCCCCTTTGATACTTTGATGCCTATCTGATATCAAACAAATTTCTGATCTATTCGTAACATGCAAACGAATCAATGCTAAGAACCATTCCCATGCTGACAAGGTTTCTCCTTCAACAATTGCAAAAGCTATTGGAAGGACACAATTATTTCCATCTTGAGTTGTTACAATGAGCAATGTATGACGATACTTACCGTATAAGAACGTCCCATCCACTTGTAATATAGGTTTGCAGAATTTAAAAGCTTCATGACATTGTTTAAATGACCAGAATAACTGTTCAAATACTTTAAACCTGTTATCCACTTGATGACCAACCACATACTCTTTTGTTTCAATTTTATAAACAGATCCAGGAGCATGTAATTACATGTATTCTAACCAATGTGACAACATAGCGTATGATTCATCACAATCACCAAATACTTTAACAATGGCTTTTTGCTTTGTCTTCTAAGCTTTTTCATATGAAATTTTATATCCAAACTAAGCACATATTCCCTCTTGTATCAATGAAATATGTACGGACGGTTCTTCGTTCACCATTCCTACATAAAATAAAATTGGGCTAGTTAATAAGGATAAATATGTAAAAAGAAAAAAGAAAAATTAATGTTGTCTTACCAAGTATGCATGAACAAATTAAATCAGAATCTAACTTTTGATGATCTTGAGAAATTCTCATATTAACACATGTATGTAAACCACCCCACCTAGTATTTTTTCACTTGTTTGAATTCTTCAACAATGAAGCCCTCATTCTCCATGGACAACCACTGCTATGGTATAAGCATTTAACATATAAACATGTTGGTTTAGACTCAGCCACAAAATAACTTTGATGAATCTTCATTGAGTAATGTTTTAATGCATTCTTCACATCTTCTTTACTGTCAAATAACAAGCCAATGAATAATGGATCTCCTTGAACCAATGAATTCACTTCTTGATAATGTTCTTCATTCATTTCTTGATCAGGATATTCTCAATTAATATATTTATACTGTGGAGTATCATTCCATAAAGGAATTATAGTATCCCATGCATTATATTTTTCATAAATCTTTGGCATTAATATTTAAATAAATAACTAAAAACAACTAATTTTTAAAATTATTCTACATTACCTCCTACATTTTCGATTACTTGTATATTTAAGTTAGAATGAAACTCGCCTCAACATCAGTAGAAGAACTACCTAACGAAATTTCCGATTCATCATCTTCATCACTGTAACTCTCATAATCTGAGCCTTCATTATCTTCATCAACATTATTTCTAACTCCTTTATTGCAACAAATTTATCATTTTTAATTCCAACAATTAAATATATTACTAAAAGATATTACAACATAATTATTTTTACCTCCACTATAATGACGACTGACATTAGTTCCATCGTTTTGCTGTAAAAATGATAAATTTAAATTCATCATCTGCAAGGGCACAGATGAACTTCTACCAACAACAATATATACATATAACTCAATAACATTTCTACTAGATTGTTGTTAAAATGCACTTATCATGCAATCAATATCTTCATCATCACATATATCCAAAGCTGTATACTGTCTAATATTTTCATCAATCAAAAAATGAGAAATTAATCTAGAAATAACTTCATTCTGATTGAGATTAAGTTTCAAATGAATTTTTCTCTTCAAAGCTTTAAAACTCACTCCTCGCTTTATCTTAATTACTTTCTTACTTCCTTCAAAAATCATTCCTTTATTTCCTTCATAAATTCTATCATTCCAATACATAATAATAACAATTCCACTTATCCTACATTTTTACAAATAAACTTTAATTAATTTTTAACAAAATATAATTTAAAAATACAATGCTCATTCATTTACTCAATAATTTATTTAATTATAACTAACTAAATTTATAATTTAAATTTAAAATGAAATAAATCATAAATTTATTAAATTATACTGACCTGAATTTCTTTTAACTTCCTCTTATTCAATGATAAATGAGATGTTTGGTGGGATATATATAGACGTCAAGTTTCGCCACATTATTTGCGAACTTCTTCACATTGGAGCCATGTGGCAAGTGCCTATCTGTTTCGCAATTTAGGTGACAAAATAGTAATATTATTTCGCCATTCGTAGTGCGAAATTATGTAGATGTCGACATGTGTCAAGCCCCCACAAGTTTTGCCAATCTTGTGGCGAAAATATATTACAATTTTGCCATCACCTTTGCAAAATTAATTAAAATGAGACATGTGGCATCCTTGTTAGTTTCGTTGTTCTTTTGACGAAACTTGATAACATTTCGCTACCGTTTTGGCGAAACCCTTTGTCACGTTGGTAGATTCACCTCAGACTGGGAAATAGTTTTAAAGTTAATATATTTTGATAAATAGTTTTTTAAATTATAATATTAAAATAAAAAAGCCAAAAAAATGATAAGACTTATTTATAAATATTTAAAATATATTTATAAATTTATTTATAAATATTAATTTTAAATAATAAAATATTTAAAAATAATAATATAATATACTAAATAAAAGTGCTGATGTTTATTATTAATAAAAAGAGTTAATAATATAGACTTAAATCTTAACTTCTTAATATTTAAATAGACTAAATACTAAAAAAAAACATTTATATCATTTAACTTTTTAATTAAATATTAATTTTACCCCAAATTATAACATCGCTGTTTTAGAAAATGTGACAATGTCGTCATCTAAACAATAACCGAATCTATACTTTGTTTAGACAAGGACTCCTCAAACAATCTTTAAGTTAACAAAAGTAGAAAAAAAAAGAAAGAAGAGATATTACATAGGAAAAACAGAACCCTTTATGCTTCCAATGTTACATTATGAAATCAGAACTAGAGTCACATAGTGAAACCAAACACTTGGGTAAAACAAGATGGCAGTGATTGGAACGAGGTTCGGAGACGAACAGAGTAGTCTATTGGACGAGTTTGAGAGGGTATCCTTTGAGGCACACGCAGCACAGTTGAACCGAGTCATGTTGGGTCGAAGCCTTTCAGAACCGAAGTTGCCAAAATCACATTCACGACTCATCAGCATGGCTCCAATGCCTCTCGTGACTCAGGTCATGCAAGAGCCTCGTCGTCATGCTCGTGCTGCTGGCGGCTCACGATTCCATAAGGTAGTCAAGAATTTGCTCAAACCCATTTTTGGTAGGAAGAGGGGACCAGGAAAACCTGCCTCCAATGATGCTAAGGATTTAATGTCTTGCAAGGCCTTCAGTAAATCACTTCGGTTCTAACATGTCAAATATTAGACACTGTATTATTATTATTATTACTTGTATGTCAAATATTATAATATTAACTTTTTTATAATTATATTATAGAGTTCGTTCTATGATGTTTTTTTTTTCCGGAATGTGTCTCCACAATTTTTATATTTTATATTTTGAATAAAAAAACAATGGTAATTATTTTCTATAAAAAAATAGCATGTGAAATTTACATATATGTAATACATAATGTGTATCCAAACATATTATAAGTGATTGTTAGCATTTCAGTAGAGATAAATTTTAGTTACTACCATTTTCTTTAGTTCAATCATCAAACAAACATAGCATAACTGAACTCTTCACATCAATTACTTTTGTTAGGCTGTTATTTTTAATAAGATTAATATTTTTTTTAAAAAAAATTATGTGAATTGAGTCTTAAAATTATGAGACTAATATTTTTTAGTACTCTTATCATCAACTTTGAGACTTTAAAATATAAAAACTCTCGAATGTTTATTTTTATTTTTTAAATTCGATAAGTTAATAATAGAACTTAAACTTAGTCATGATAAAATAAACTAAAAAATAACATATATTAATCTATGCAAAAGAGAATAATAGAAGTAATACTTAACATAACGTAATTTAAGCATTTCTTGAAAGGCTGTAAATTACATGTCCCCTTCCTTTTCTCTCCATTGGAAAATGACATGCCGACAAAAAAAAATCTCTTTTAAATCTCAACAACGCTTTCTTTCATAGTTGCTTATTTACTTGATATAATAAATTGATTCATTATTCTTTAAAATAAATTAAGATAGCCTTTATATGTACTACAAATAAAATAAGATAACCTTCATCTCATACAGCCACATATATTCCTCATTTTATAATTTCTTTTAACTTTTATATAAAATTCTCTAAAATTAATTATTCAATAATTTTTTTTAACATATATAGCCAATCCTTAAATTTTTTCAATTAACATTTAGCAACAATGTATCCTAAATCATTATTAAATTAATTATTTTATTAAATAACCTGATTTTTATTTAAAAAATATCTGCTTGTATTGTTACCTTATAATGTACATTTTTAAAACTTAATATAATGATCTTTTTCATTAATTAAATTATTTTTTATATACTTTTAAATTCACGTTCTAATATTTTTATCTAGAATTTTAAATATTTACAATATGCAAAACAAATTATTATTCGCATACAAGAGGAAAGAAACTGGTTAAGGTAATTTAAATAAGTGCAAAGAAAGCTATTGAAGATTCTTCAATAAAAGTAATAGAGAAAAATCTAAAAAATAAAAGAAATTATATAAAAATAATAATTTCATAGTTAATAGTATATTTGATAATTTAGTTTTTATTAAATCTAATAATATCGTTTGATTCTCAAAAGCAATCTCACCAAACAGATAAAATGATAGAGATGTCAATTTTAAATCGAAGGGGAAAAAAAGTAAAAAAATGAATTCATTTACCAGAAGAGGCAATAATTTACTCTTGATTGTTACCACCAGAAATTGAAACGAAGTTACGTGCCAAATACATTAAAAGACAATGTCATCTTTCACCCTTCGATCAATTAAAGCGATATATATGTCACCAAATGGCATGCGAAATGCCTCTTCAGACAGACACTGTTACAATTCTTCCTCCATCAGAGTCCATGCTCATGCCTTCTCCAATTCCCACAAGCTACAAAATTTTTCAGCCCTATACACTAAATACCCCTCTTTTCACCAACAAAATCAACAATGATAACATTACTATCCGACCAACTAAAAGCATACTCTCTTTCTCTGCCACTGACCCTTCACATGAAGACATAAACCACTCTTCACCCTTCAAACACACAACAACAAATGACCTGAATTTTGAGGATTCAACCACTAGGTTTCGAATCAAAGGTCTTGTCCAAAGGATTACAACATTATTCTCCTCCAATTCCAAAACCCAGATACTGCAAATTCTAGAGAAAGATCCAGAATTTCAAACCATATCAGATTTCAATCACCTTCTCATGGCTCTAGTCATTGCACGAGAGTTTGACATTTGTCACAGAATCTTCACAAAGTTACCATCTTTTCAACTTATGCCAGATTGTTGCACCTATTCCATCATGATAAGGTGCCACTGTGAGAAAAATGATGTGGAAGGAGCCAAGAGAGCATTGGACACCATTCTGGAAAAAGGGTTTCAACCAGATCCTGCAACTTTCACTGTGCTCATAAACTCACTTTGCAAAAGGGGGAGAGTGCAAAAGGCAATAGAGGTTTGTGAAATCATGGGTAGAAAGGGTTACAAACCCAATGTTCAAACACAAAATTGCTTGCTTAAGGGGTTGTCCTATGTAGGGAAGGTGGAAGAAGCATTTGAGATTTTGATGAGTATGAAAGGAACCTCACTGGAGCCTGATGTTTATTCTTATACTGCTGTAATGGATGGTTTATGCAAAGTGGGTCGTTCAGATGAAGCAATGGAGTTGCTCAATGAAGCTGAGGGAACTGGGGTAGTGCCCAATGTGGTAACTATCAACACACTGTTACAAGGGTATTCTAGGGAGGGAAGGCCAATGGAGGGTGTGGTTATTTTGAAGATGATGAAGGATAAACATGGGTGTGTTCCTGATTATGTTAGTTATAGCACTGTCTTACATGGGTTGCTGAAGTGGAATGAAATTGTAGCAGCTCTTGGAGTTTACAAGGCAATGGTGAGAGTTGGGTTTGAAGTCGATGTGAGGGTGATGGGGACATTGGTGGGGCGTTTGTGCAAGATGTCATGGAAGGAGAGAGGACTAATTCAAGATGCATGTGAAGTGTTTGAGAAAATGAAGGAGAGGGATTCAGTGGTTGACCAGAGGACACTAGAGGTGATGGTTCGGGCACTTTGTGGGGGAAAGAAGTTTGATGAGGCTTTGGAAGTTTTGAATGATATGGTTAGGTTGGGATATTCCCCTGAGTCAGTTACATTTGACAAAATGATTCAAGGCCTTTGTGGATGGGGAAGAGTGGACGATGCAATGTCAACTTTGGTCCTTTCGCATGCAATTGGAGGAATTCCTGGTAGAACTTCCTATGACGTGTTGATCAAAGAACTCAATGAACAGGGTAGATTGTTTTCTGCTGCTTATTTGTTTGGTGCTGCACTGAAGCAAGGTGTTGTTCCCAACAGGAAACCTTTGCCAAGTGTTATGAAAAGGGAGGAATTACAAGCTCACCCGGGGATTTACAGCATGTTTGGGTTCAGTTTCATTTCAAGAAAATAATTACTATTTTTTAAAAGCTTTTTCCGAATCGGTAGGAAATAAGTAATTATTTCTAAAAGTAAGTTAAACCAAATATACACCAAGATAATTTGGTTGCAATATTCTACGCTATTCTTTTGGATTAGCGGTTTTTTTTGTTTCTTCGTAGCCAAACACAAGGGAGTTTAAAAAAAAGTAAAATCAACCGTTATTTATTTGCGAGCACAAGATACGAGGTACCTTAGATGATTTCAAATTTTTTCCATTTTGCAGGTATTAATTGTGATAGTTTTCATGGTGAATGTGAAACCAATCAGACTCTTATATCAATGTGCCGTGGCAATTCTACCAAAAGGGCAAAAAATCATTCTGACAAACCTTGTTTGGATTGTCAAAAAAACAAGCACAGGTGGATGAGGAATTTCATAGAAAGGATAAGTGTGGGAATGGGAAGTAAGGTGGCAAATCATGATATGAGTCTCAAGATGAAATGTATATTATTAGTATAGTGTATGGATTCGGGTGTCTTTGGTGCTGTGTATACTTTGGTGAGTCCGACGTACTCATGGGAGTCATGAATCCATGACGGAGGAGTTCTAATTGAATGAGAAACTAACTGATTTTTGGATTTAATTGAAATAAAAAATTTAAGGAGGCAGAAAGAGAAGGATGAGAATAATTGAAGATCTGGATCTCAAATGTTAGTGTTTTAGAAATCTTCAAGGTTTTACTTTTCATCATAGTGTTCTCTGCTTTTACTTTTTATCCATCACGTTTTAGAAATCTCAAACGTCATTATTGTTATAATCAAAGATAAGTTCGCAAAAAAATAAAAAAGACGAAATACAAAGAAAAAAGAGAGAATGGAGGTTAAAATTCTAATATATCTTGATGGTAAAGACTAAATTTATGATTGTTAATTTCAAATATTAATGTTTAAACTATTAGCTTTAGAAGACTACTACCAGTCATGTTGCACATTTCAAGAACTAAACCGATGGTTTATCCAATTTTTTTATATTACCGCCAACGTGTGGGAGTGTTTTCTTGAAAGTTAATTAAAACCATGATTCTTTTATGTACGACTTTTTACCTAAAAATGAAAATGAGTGACTTAATGGCTAGTTTTCTGACGCAACAGTGTCATGCTGAAGAAAAATGCTGCTAGAGCTTTAGTTTCGTACATTAATTACAACTCAATTTTAACTCGACGTTGTAAAATCAAGGCCAGTTTGCTAAGCTGAATATTACACGTGCTGCATTTTATGAATGATAAATTACTTAAAAATAAAAGAACAAAAGAGATGGTAATTATCTGGACTTCAACTACAAAACTTGAAGTGAATTCTCAGGCACGACTCATGTACTGCCCAGTTCTTGAATCAACCAATATTTCGTCACCTACATTTACAAAGAGTGGGACATTGACAACAGCGCCAGTATCAAGAGTGGCTGGCTTTGATCCACCTGTCAATCATGTGTTGTTTTCAAGGGTTCAGTAAGTTCTACAAGGGAATGTAAGAAAAAAATAACACAGGAGAAAGGAGGAAACCAAGCAGAAAAACCATAATAACTATCAAAGTTTTTTTTTCCTTGACAACAAGATGAGGTAAACAAACCGATTTTGTCCTTTTGAAATTTAATACATCGCATTTATATGAGCAACAATAAAACCCAATCATGTTTTTCTTTGTTTGTTTCTGATGCCAAATTTGTGAAATATGCATGAAGGGAAATCTTAGTCATGAATTCATCCCTTGACAAATCTAGATAGAACATGATGAGAAAATCATCGTCTAGCAGATGGTTTGATCATTTTCGTGTAACAGAAAATTTTCTTGGCTACGTATATGATTGGCATTTTCAAAGTTTGCAACATGAATTTTGTCAAAATAAATATCTGTAGCATAAACAAAATGGCATCACCTTGGGCTGTGTCACCCTTAAGTCCTGGATCCACATCAACTACAGTAAGTTTGACTGTGATAGGGAGTTCAACATCAATAACCTGAAAAAATATCAAGAGACAAATTGTTAAACAAGATCAATAGCAGTAATTGTACATATCCTATTAATGATAAATTCCATATAGCAAATTGGAAAATGCTCCCTAGTTTGAGTTTGTCTCTGAAGTGATCAAGCAAGAGCGTATCTATTCTCAAATTTTAGTGGGTTAAGATCAAAATGTAGTTTAAATACTTGAGTAACAATCAAATTAATTCTAGGCAGTCTAGGTAAAACACCATTAGGGAGAAGAAAAACTCACAAAGTGTATAAAATACATAACCACACAGTAGATCATTCAAAATTTCAGAAAAGCATGCAGTCCTTCTATAAAGTGAAATACCCCTAAATCAGATAGAACCATATCAAGTTAAAGACACTAAACAAATAAAAAATATGGAATCTGCAATAGATTCTGGATTAGTTTTATCCATTAGCAACTATACACCAACAAGCTCCTCCCTTTGAACAAATAAAATAGAAATTAGTTTACCTCTTATTTATGAATATCAAAACTATATTAGTTCAAGTTTTCAAGAACCCAAGGCCGCTTCATGTCCTAGAACTTCTCAATTACTGGTCTACAAAAATATAAGTTTGAGATTGTGAAAGATAGTAATAAATAATGAGATGACAAGGTTACCTTTCCATTCCATAACAGCAAATTGCAATCCATTCCCTCTTTTAGCCACTTTGTTCTGTCTCCAATTTCTGATTCACCCAGACGAAACTCCTCATACGTATTCTGATAAAATTAAAATACAGCACGTTATATAGACAATGAGAAAACTCAGTACATTAATTGTTAGTTGACTAATTACTAGTAATAAAAACAAAACAATTATTGGAAAACAAAGTATAAACCTAATGGGGTAACTCTTCATCATAGTCACTGACCAGTGGGCGGAGATTATATTTAGTTAGAGCCAAAAAATGCACATATCTATAACTGTTAGATTATATAGTGATAGATTCCAGATAATACCAAGTCCATGAAGACAAATTGAGAACCGTCTTTATATGTGAACTGCTTTGTTTCCTTGAATACATTTGCTTCATCAATCTGTCAAAAGGAAATAGAACAGAAAATTGGAAAAATATAAACCCACAAAATCTAATTCTCAATCAGAAATTATAACCAATAGACAGAAGAGAGACAGGAAATTATAATACTTCACAAGCCATACCATCATTGTGAATTCTTTTCCACTCACATCTCTTGGATACATGAGTGGACTACCTCATTAATTCACAAGGAAACCCCAGAAAATACTTATATTTTAGGGAGAGGGGATCACATAAAGGATACAATCCTATAAACTCTCAGCCATTCTTTAAACATAGGTTGTAAGACAAACAGCAGAAACCCTCGACATCAAATACTTATATAACAACGGTGGATTAATCTACTCATCGGCACACCTCAATTAGGCCATGTCTATTCTAGCCCCACAACACTTGGGAGTGGGTGTTGACTCACATTGCTCGCCTGTGCACCAAAGATTGCATGAGTCTGTCCACTCCACATTATAGCCCAATTTAGATTAACTTCACAATAAGTAACTTATTGGAAACAAAATAAGCAAGTAAAATAAACAAAACTTTTTCATGTGTAAAAATCAACTTATACTCCTCTATTTTTAAAAAGCTCTGTCATCTAACTTCTACAAAACATAAAATGCACAAGTTGATTTTAACTAATGAAATAAGTTTTTATTAATCTTATCTCCTCAGTTTCTTCTCCTGTAAGTGCTTGTGTGGAAACTTACCCAAATAAATTATGCATATGAAAAACCAATAATTTTATCACTTGTTATTTTTTATGTCATTAGCTTTAAAGATGTCTTAATTCATTTGACTAAATCTCAAATAGAGATAGCAAATGTATTCATATAAGACATTTTTAATTTCATTAAAATATATAACAATAATAGTTTAAAATTTTAACGAGGGTAAAGCAGGTAGAATGCAGATTATAAACACTTAATTTAAATAGATTAATTTCATGCCACTAAAGAAAATGGTGAGAATTTAGCGTGCATTACCGTGCTTCCAGCTCTAAAGGTTTTCTCAACCGTATTCCCTGTGATATAGTTCTTTAGTTTGGTCCTCACAAATGCCGCACCTTTTCCCGGTTTAACATGAAGAAACTCTGAAACAAACAAAACAAAAAGTGCAATGCAAGCCAAATTAAGAGCGTTATAAACACAATCCATAATTAAAATCACAGTTCAGAAATAATAATGAATGATACCTAAGACACGCCAAGGAGAACCATCGACTTCAAGGTTGGAACCGACCTTGATGTCGTTGCTGGATAAGGCGTAAATCTCTGAAAGAAACGAGCAAGTTAGCGAATAAGGAAAGGCTTGGTTGTTAGAGAGGGAGGAAGAGACTCACTGAGAAATCGAGGTTTGGAAGAGGGGCTTCGCATTGGGAGAAGAGAGGGAAACGAAGAAGAAGTGGAAGCACTGAAACTCAACATTGATGAAGAAAAGAGCTTAAGCTTGAAGGTTGCGATTGCCGCCACCATTGTTAATGCTTCGTTCTCAGTTCTTTCTCACTTCTTACATAAAGGATAAGGAAAGGTTCTTCTGCTTCACCTTTTCACCCACTTTCACTCACTTTCAAAACAAATCAATTGTGTATATGTGTTTTGATATTTTTTAAAAACAAATAATTTCACAAAACTTTTCTTTTTTGTGTATTCGATAACCTGATAATAATTTTCTTTATGCAAATTGTTTAAAACTTTAATTGTATTTTATTTGTTATATTTTAGTTTATATTTAATTTTAATTATTTCCATTTACAATTATTAACATAAATGCAATGAAATGTAAAATGATATTGATAATATAAATCGATAATGTAAACAGTATTCATGTTTTTACAATAAAATTATTCAAAAATAATGCAATAATCTTTTATTATGATTTGTACAAAAATATTTTATTACTATTTATATAAATTAATACCGTTATTGTCGTATTATTTTATTTATAATACTCTTCTATTATTATTATTATTAATGTAAATTTAAAATGCATATTATGCATTAATCTTTTACCAATGTTGTAATGTAATTTATTTTTTAAAATTTTATATGATTAAATTTTATTTTTACTATAAAAATATTTTTAAGTTTTTTTAATAGATTTTTTTCTAAAATATATTTAAATAAAAAACTAAAATAAAAATATTTTGAAAAAAATTTAAAATTGACTGTTGTCAACTTTATACACATTATACTATCTTAATCATATTCTACACTAAAAAACAAAAAATTGCACAAAAAAATTTGTAATACTTTTAAGATTTCTTTGATGAATAAAATAAAAAAAATTAAGATAAGATATCATTTGTAATCCTATTTTAATTCTGACATTTGTTAAATCAATAATCTTATCATGTGATTTTATTTAATGTAAATTTTCTCTCAAAGAAATTGAATTAAAAATAAATAGAATAGATAATGCGAAAAATAAAATGTTCTACTTTCATTCTCTTCATTTATATCTTTCTCTTTTTCATCTTCATTATATTCACATTCTATGAAAATAATTTTACTACTAAATTCTTAAAATTTAGCTTAAATAATATATAACTTATGAACAAATTATTTTCATAAATTATGTAACCTTCTTTGATTTTTTCTGGAAACAGATGATTATTCATATGCTTCTCAAGTTTCATGAATAGTCAGCATATTAAGAAATATCGAGAAAGACTTTTAGAGAATCACTCTGATTCTATCTCTGTTCATTCCGTTTGAAGAAAGGAAGGATTCCAATAAAGAATCAATCTTTCTTTTAGTTCCTGAATCTCTCTTTGATTGATTCATGTGTAATATTTCGAATCCTCATTCCTAATAGAATGAAAATGATCTTTGGATTAATCAGAAGATCCTTTCGATTGGCTAGAATACGTTATTTGAATCAAACTAGATCTCGTGAAATTATATTGAATATTTGATGATACATTTTGTACCTTGCTAAAAATTCATAATCATGAAAAACAACTTATTACTATTGTAAATTGTTTTTAACTTATTTTAATACATTACTTAATATAACATATTAAAATAAATTATTTTTAACTTATCTTAGTAAGTTTTATTACTAAATTTATTATATAAATTACCATTTTAAAAAAACTTATTTACTAAGTGCTTAAATAAATAACTTTTCATGACTTTTTTTTAATTCATTCTATTTAAAAATACAATTTCCACGTAAAAAAAATGCTAAAAACACACTTATATATTTCTTTCTTTCTTACCCCTACATTAATGTTTACCTCTAAATTAATGTTTCTCTCATAATTCTATAATTTGTAATAAATTTTAGTCAATAATGACAATGTTGCTAGCATTCTTCAATAATTATGTGGTGCTTCTTATCGCAAATATTTAGCATGTTGGCAAGGCTACTTACTCTTTGCCCACATATTTTCTTGTTGAGGTGCAGAGAAGGGAGGAAAATGCTAAAACCATATAAACTTTTCATATAAATGGGGTAACTAATTGAACCCGGTCAGACCAACCTTTGCACTATCTACAAAAGAACATCCTCTCAGCATCACACTAAGGGATTCAAAGGTGGAAGAACCACATCTTTATCTCCTATAAATTTGTGTTGAATCACACCAAAAATAATAAATAAAAAATGAACATTATAGACATTCAAAATCCTTCAACACTAGCCCTTCTAGAGGCTGAGGATGATGACTTGCGACTTTCTTGCCTATCAAGCTCCTCCAAAGAGATACTGGAAGAACAAGCCCTAGGCGGAAGGAGGATCGGCACTCCCGACCATCTTGGAGGTGAAACAGATACGGGGGCAACACCCGATGGTGGCGACGGAGAGAAACTCAACCTTGGAGCAGGGGTAATGATACCATTAAGACTTGGTGATCTTGACATCTGCTTTCCAGCATTTGATGCTGGCTCCTGCAGTGGGAACCGGCACGAGTATTTCAAATCTTGAATCATCTTGAGATGCTCAACAACAGTTCTCATGGTAGGTCTTTCTGATGGCTCCTTTTGAAGGCATCTTTGTGCAATGTCAGCTATTGTTCTTGCTGCTTTGGAAGGAAACCGACCTTTGAGTTGAGAATCCATGATCAACGACAGACGATGATTATCAGCTAGGAAGGGCCGGCTCCACTTGACTAAATTTCTCTCTTCCTTGGGGTGACGGCTGTCAAGATTCTTCCTTCCTGTGAGTAGCTCCAGAAGGAAAATTCCAAAACTCCATACGTTGCTCTTTGGAGTGAGCATTCCTTTCTCCAGTGTCTCCATTGATAGGTTTCCAACAGCCTGGACAATAATAAATAAATTCATTAATATAATGAATGAGAACAAAAATTAGGGAATAAATATAAATACTCAAGAAAAATATGATGATAAGGTACAGAATATTGGCTGAATATAATAGACACTAACTGAGGCTATTTTAGAGCACAAAATACTATTAAGTGAAAGAACTTACAGATGAACTGCTTGATATCTCTTCCTCTGGAATATGTCCAACACAACCATATCCTGAAAGCTTTGCACTGAAATCTTTGTCAATCTGTATGTTGGCTGTTGAGAATTCATTATACATCGCCTGCAGACAGAAAAAAGTATGTGAGCAAAGATGAAGGTATAAATTTAGCTGAATAAGAATAATGTACTGTCTGTGGAAATAAAATATCTAATCATAACATCCTCACAATATTCCGTCCATGTACCATGAAAAACAAAACAACTCAGGTCCTTCAGCACTCACTTGGAGTGATCTGAACTCCAAACAAGTAGGAAAGGCATACATATGACCACACAAGGCTTCTTCAGTTAAACATATTCAATATAATTTTATACTAATTACCTGAAAAGGCCCTTCTTCATGCAAGAAAGTTAGACCTTGTGCAGCACATATAGCAATTTTCATTCTTGTGTTCCAATCAATAGATGGCCCATCAGATCTCCCATACAATAAGCGGTCCAAGCTTCCATGGTATAGCCTCTCATAAACCAACATCCTATGTTCTGAAGCCTCTCGTGCATGAAATCCTAGCAATTTACAGAGGTTTGGATGTTGCAAAGATGCAAGAGTATTAACCTCATTAATGAATTCCTTCAAGCCCTGAAAGAAGACAGATACTTTTAGACCACTACAGAATGTTTTCATATAATTGACATTTGTTTTAATGTCCAAAACACAAAACTCATAATTCTAACGGTAACTGATTTAAGTTTCAATCCACAGGTATGTACTATGTAATTCATAACAATTTCAAGCATTTCAGTTTGGAAGGGTTTAACAACATTTTCATATGTATGGCATAGAAGAGTAAGGTGGATAGCAAGAAGAACTATGCTTACAAGTACAACTATTTAATCAAAAACTTAAAAACACTTTGATGCCTGTCATAATTTCGCTGCTGCATGTATATGTTAAACCCAACCAAACAAAACTTACGCATAACATATCTCAATACATTACAAAAATATATAAAACATCGAATTCTGGCCATTCTAAGATAACATGCGTGCACCATTAATAAGACAAGTAAGCAATCACCGTACATAAGAATACCAAGAAATGAAATCAAAGCAGCATAGTATGGAGAAAAGTACCTGAGATGATAGGTGAAGCCGTGTGACAGTGGCTTCAAACTTCTTTGAACTTGAAGCATCATCGCCAAAGGACGCTTTATATATTGTGGAGGAAAGACATTCGGACATGCATCTATCTGAAGAGAAATTGTGGCAAGCAGCAGCAATTTCCTCGTACATAAAGTTCCTAAGTGACCCAGTTGGTGGAAGCGGCAAAGGTCCAGAAGCATATAGAGGACCACTAGCTGTCACTGACTTAAAGCTGCCAACAGCCTTCAATACACCACCTCCCTGAGGAGATGGAAGGGGTAAAGGTTGTGGACTAGATGAACGCTGCTCCTTCATTGATGCAGCCCGGTGTTTTGACTCTTCTTGTTCCTCATACTCAATTGAGGCCAAAGCTTCTTGTTCTGCTGCATCAAGAGTTGATGGAGCAGATAATGTTCTTGTTCTATTGTTACTGACTTTATTAGTGGGTTGAATGGGTTTCACTCTGGTCCTAAAACTAGGAGGAGCAGACTGGAGTGAGCGAGTATGAGTTTGAGGTTCGGGCAGAACTGTTGGTACATGCTCATTATGGCTTGCCCGTTTTACATACAAAATCTGATCAGACTTTTTCTTCTTGTTCTTCAATACAGTGAAACACCCCATCTTTTGTAGAGAACTTTGTCGCTGAAAAGAACTCTATGTCTGCAAAAACAAAATAAAAGGTGCATAAATAAAAATTATGTCTACTACTAATTTAGTGTACTTCAACATGCCACAGTTAGAAAACCCACAAGTAATGCAACCATCTGTTTTCCAGAGTCCAGACACATAGTTTAAGTTTTGATTCTCATTGATATAAGATAGGCACATGCAGTCATGTTTGAAAACAAAAACAAGAAAACAAGGGGCAGTCGAGAAGCATTTCATTGTCACCTTTTTCTATTAATTTATTCCTCACCATGGTTATCAAATCATGAGTCGTACCATGAATCCAAGCATATCTTGAACGGTAAGATTTTTTAATAGTTAATTGTTAAAAATCCATTCTAATAATTGAAATAATATTTTAACATAATAAAACTAGTATTGAAAATTGAAACAGAATGATTTCTTTATTCCATTTTCTATTTCCATTAACTATTGGATTCTTTTCATAATTCTCCACGAACATTAATTACTAGAAACTGGCTAACCATGTTTCAAAGCGCATTTTATTTTCAAATTCTCTCTCCTTGGCAACTGCGTTTTATCTCTCATTAACTCCCCTGCCCAAATAATCAGCCTGAAAGCATCCTGCCACTGGAGACTCATTGTCCACAGGGCCCCATGCCCTGATCGTTCGACCACTGCATCCTTGCAGCTTGGAAGCCATGCACTTTTCAGTAGCCATCTCACAGACCTCTGTGCAAACAAGAATCTGGCCACACCCACCCATCGCTGCCTTGGTTCATTGCTCTGTAGTAGCTGTTAGGAACTTAGGATCCCTGTCGCTCTGAGATCCATACCATTGGAAATACAACAGAATGGAAAGTCTACGATTCTGGCACCATTGCTGCTGTGCATTTCCAGCAACATAACGAAACATCATGAGATCTGAATCAATGAAGTGAGCAGTCACATCGAACGTGGTTCATGCCATTCCAGCTACCACATGCCTGACTATTAATTATTTGCGTATCAATGTTTCATTGTTTAATTTTTAGTAAACATCCAATTTGATCCTCAAAAGATTTTCAAACATCAATTTGGTCCAAGAATTGCGAGAGCATGGCATTGATTTGGTTAAACAAGCAGTTAACTTCTGCACTACATATATATTGAAAATCTTTCAAGCCCCAAAATAGTTGTTTACTCTTTAACTTTTCTGAATTTCATCTTCTCCAGTGAGCACATCTTAAAACAATAAAACACCCAATCTTCCTCTACTCTTCATTTCATTTCTCTTTTGATTCGTTGCTCCCAAGTCCCAACATTTCTTAAAACGAACCCATAAGCACCAATCACTCTAAATTGAATGCAAAACACTACAATTAATCAACATTGGGTTAACGGGACACCATATAAGCCTTATTTCCAACTTTTGTCTATCACATTCCCATTAAATAGTATGATAAAATTACTTCAATTTCTGCCATGTCACTCACCAATTTTTACAAGTATTGAAGTGAAAAAATAAATAAAAACAAATGGGCAAAATGCTTTTTCAAATGAACAGAAATACTAAATCGCTGAAGACTCACTACCTCCATCTATTCAACTACACTAAAACCAATTAGATCCATTAAATTAAATAAAAAAAACATTAATTCCATTTAGTTTCACTTAACAAGGTAAACACCAAAAAATAAAATAAAATTTTCCAAGCCGCAAAATTTCATCTCCACCAATAACTTTCCAAATAAAACGAAAAAAACATAGAAAATCAAATCAAGAAGAAAATGAACAATGAACTGGCAAAAAAATCAAACGACAAAACAAGCCCCGAGATCCAAGAAAACCAGCAGAAAACGAAATTCCCAAACAAATTTACAACAAAAAAGGGTAAGATTACACGAATCGAAAACAACGTACGGAATTAAACGAACCTGCGCGAGAAATGGCAGCTCATGCAACTCGGAGTGAAGCGATCCAGGGGCAGCAAAATGGGTAAAAATCGGAACTTTCTGTGGTTTTGATTCGTCTACGAAAAACCCCTTATCGAGTCAAAGAAAGCAGATTGGAAAAGCTGAAGAGTGGAGAGTTTAGCGAGAGAGAGAGAGAGAGAAAAAAGTAGAAGAGAGATTAGAAGAATATTTAGAATTGTAGAGAGAGAAAAAGAGAGAAAATGGAACCCAATGAGCAGTGGTCAAACCTACCCAAAACCCAGATTTAATTAAGTGATTAAAATAATATTTTCATTAAACACAAACAAAAGATGTGCTTTTCCTTTTTTCTTTTTTCCAACTTTGTCCTTCTTTTTTACTTTTCTTTAATTTTTAATTTTTTTCTATTTTTTTAATATATGTCTCTCCAACTTTTGATTCCACTTTCTTACTTCCAATAATCCAAATTTTTATTTGAACTTAGATAGATTCTGATTTTGTAGATTTCTTATTTTGACAGTCAATACTTTAAGATTTGGTACATTTTGTTATAGCCTTAATTATATGGTTTTATTCGTATTTTGAAAATTTATTACCATAATATTCTTGATTTGAATCATGATATTTTCAAGCAATGTCCTATTTTGATTTAAAAATATTTTATTTTTTATCAATCTAGTTGCTTAGTTGTCATTCATATCTCCATTTTGATTTAAAAGTATAACTTAATTAATTAAATAATTTACCTCTTCTAAAGCAAAAAAAAAAAAAAAACTACACTTTAGAGTATAAAATGTAATATCATAAAAATTACTAAAATTTTGTCCAAAAAAATACTGTAAATAATTTAAATATTACACAAACATTTCTAGTGTAACATGCAAAATTAGTGAAATTATATTATTTATAAGAGTTTAATTTTAACACATTATTAATAAAAATGTAATCAATAATTAATTAAAAAAATTTTAAATACATTTAAATTTTATCTTTTTTTAAAATAATAATTTAAAATCTACTTCAGAATAGTCAAGTTGATGTTGAACATTTCTTATTTCGAACATCAACAAAAAAGCTGAAAGCTATGGTGGGTCCATGGGTATTTTGGTAATTTAGGGTGATGCACGACTTTCAACGAAGTTCACCTTGTTGAGGGTGACAGCCCAGTCAAAGTTGTGAAATTTTTATTTAATTTTCTAACAATTATTAAAAAAAAAGGGGCATGTGTTGGTCAAAGAGAGCCATCAAGATAGGTCTTTGACTATGAATCTTTGCCATTGGATTTGAGCACATCTCTCAGATCGACGGTAGCTAGGACCGAAGTGGGCCCCGCCTGATATCAACACATTTGTCTTTTCACGCGCCGAGTACGCGTGGCATGGATTTTCTGATTCATTTCCATTATCAAATAGAGACGTGGGTCCCAATGCTCAAGTGCTCAACTCAACAACTAGCCTTTTGTTGTTTCGTGTTATCAAGAAAAATGGACCAAAGTTTGACCACCTTAAAACGGAAAATAAATAATTAATAGAAATAACAACGGCTTTTATGATAATTTAATTCACCTTGTTTTAATCTGTATCATCAGACACGTATTCAAAAATTATTAATATTTTTTACTAAAAATAATAATATTTAATATTATAATGTTTTAATAGAACTATTATATATAAATTATTATAATATATTTTACACATGCATTAAAAAAATTATTTAATTCAAAGTAATAAATGAATTACTTAAAAACTAATGCAAACATATATACGAATAGCAATAATGATATTTTTATGTCTGTTTAAAAGCATATTAAAATATAGGTAAACATGAATTTAATAAAAAATTATAATTGATAAATTAAATTTATGTTTATTTATACATAAATCTTAATATGATATATGAAAATATTAATAGTATATTTTTTTAATACATTATTTTTAACATATTTATTATTAATTAAAATTTATCAAAACTATAAAATATAAGAAAAATATTAAATTTTTACTAAAATATACCAAGATTCGTATTTTTTTTATTAAAATGCATATTACTAATATTTCTCTGTGTTTTATATTTTAAAAAATGAGAATTTGAATTTTCAAATCATACATAATTTAAAACTAAAAGTTTGATCAAATCACATGATTATATATATAGATAGATAGATAAGAGTAATCAATTTATTTTTTATAAGTTATTTTATTATTAAAAATAAAATCTAATAAATATAAAACATTAAAAGACATAAAAATAGAGAATTTAGAAATATTATAAAATTAATCAAATATAATAAAAATTAGATCTAACGTATCATAAATGTCAACATATATATTTATAAAAAAAATTAAAATTTTATATAAGACAGTAAAAAATATAAATATAAAAATAGATATTCACAAAAAAATTGAAAATTTTATATATGATATTGAGAAATTTTATAATAATCTCTAAAATTTAAAATAAAATTAATAAAAAAAGTGAGTAAAAAATTTTATATAAAATGTTAATTTTATATAACATATAATATAATTATATATTATTTTAGTTATTTATGTTAGAATTTGTTAAAACTAAATTATTATGAGAACATAATTAAGTAATTTTTATATATTTTAATATTATATATTATATTAAATTTAATATATAAGAATAAAATATTAAATAACTTTAAATTACTTTATAATTTTGTATATTTTAACATATGACATATTATTTAAAATTAAAAAGATAATTATTATTTGGTTGGATATCTATAAATATTTAAATTATATAAAATTTTATGTATATGATATTTATGATAATAATATACGAATCAAAGGTTAAATTAATAAAATTTATTTTATTTAAAAATATTATATATATATCATTCCCACTTAGTATTTGATTCACACGCACATAAATGAAAAATTATTCATATTTTTTAAATAACTCTTAAATACTTATTTTATTGATATAAAAAAATTACTTATTTTATTTAATAATTTAGCTTATGAAAACAATCATTAAATTAAGAAGATAAAGATGAAAATCGTGCAATGGTCATTAAAAATTGAATGGCAATTTAATGAAACGATAAAATTTACTTAATTAAGAAAATAATAAAATTAAAATTGAATAATTAAAAATTAGACTAAAATTGAATAAAAATAAAATAATTAGACAAATTTTGTTTCTAATAGTTTAAAATTATATAATAACCTTAAAGAACAATTTTATAAAATTAACAAATTGAAACTTGTTTTGAAAGCTCAATTATACTAAAAAGTTTAAACAACAATTGTGGACAATATTCTCTTTTGAAATAAATCATATTAACAAAATTTGAAAACTTTTTTATTTATAAAATAGATTTCATTAGTGTATAACGTTTTATTATTTTTTATTTCATACAAAATAAAGTAACTTAATATTGTTTAAATAGGAATACACATACACAACGGAACACTCAATTTTGATGAACTCTAATATAAACTTGCTGAATATGATCATGTTAAACTAGACGTAATTTATTTGTGGGTGAAAAAATTTTATTTGATATTGCGAGAAAAACTAATACAAAGAGTATGGGTTTAGAAATTGACCTTAATAAAACAATTTATTTGCATTTTTTTTATCACTTCCGAGGTAAAAGCACGTTGTGAACTTTACTTTGTGACTTATGTATTGTCCAAGGACACGTTGATTCAAATCTTTGAGCAAAAGCTCTTCTTAGCAACTTTGTTTTACACTTGTGTAGCATTTGTAGGTAGAATTTTTCATTCTTAGGTTGACATCTAGCTGTTTTTATTGAAAAATCTATCTTAGCACATTTAATTGTAAGATAAGGGTTAAGGAATATTCTCTTATATGCTTTGAACTCCATGTGAAGCTCTATATATAAGACGATTGTCTTATGAAAGGCTATTTGTCACAAATAAGATGTGATGTAACCCTAGTCGTTGTAGATGAACTGTGAAAGAACAAAATTCTTTTTTTTTAATTACAATTTTTTTAAGAATGTGATATAATATTCTAAAGCAAGGAGAGCAGTTAAGTTTAAAGAATGCTTATAGAAAACTATCATATTCTTACAAATAAAGTTTGATTAATTAAAGGTGTAAATTGCATGTTTTATTCTCTTAGAAAAATTACTCAAATTGTTTATTGAATAAATTAGAGGTGCGCATAAGCTATCTCTTGAGTCTACTAATTGAATAAATTAAAGATTACTTTTTTTAGACGAATAGATTACTGAAGTGGATGCAACTTATGTTAATAAATTTTTTACATATATACAGTACAAGAAATCAAATATCTGTTAGTGTATTTACAAGAACTATCTACTCATAATGTTAAATTAAAAAAAAAAAAAGTGTCACGAAGAAGTTTCTTAATGCACTTAAGTTGTAGTTGAGACTAAAACTATACATCATAGTAGTTTTAGATTATTATTTTTTCTACAAATAGTGATTTCTATTTGATAATATTGTCTGAGTACTACACAAAATAACCACACGTCACTAATGGGTTTTTTTTTTTTTATTGTTTCTGCAAAAATAATATCCTTGCTCCCAATATTTTCTAATTTAGAAAAAAATGTAAAACATTATTTGAAAATTTCAAAATTACTATAGAAATATACATAATTTATTATACATAACTCAAATTTAGGAGGCAAATAATTTTTTTTTTCAAAAAATACAATATTTAAGATTTGAAATGAAAAGGAAAATTTTAACCAACAAGAAAAAAAAGAGTAGAAGTAATTATTCTGAATAGACTGAGATTACGAGAAAAATATTTTTTTTATGTAAAAAAATTGAGATTAATTAATTATTACAGAATTTTAAAATTTATTAATTTTAAATGGCAGTGAAGTTACATATCTAGAAGAAGAAATATGATAAGAGATGCTTTCACTTTAAAAAATACAGTCTTTATTAATATAAGAGTGGATTACAAAGTTAATCATCTTTTTTTCATTATTTAACATAATTAACATAAATTTTTATGACAAGAACATTTATTTTCATGTAATTAGTAAATTAAGAGATAACAATGTTTGAGACTAAAATAAGTTATCCAAGCATTATTTAGTCATTATTTAAGTAAGATTTCGATTCTCTTAAAATTCAGATTTTTTTTATTTGATCTCTTACTTTTTAATCATTTTCAAACACGTCTTAAAAACTATTTTTCCTTTTCATATAATTTCTCAATTAATAATTTATAATTTTTTTCTGTAATG